CCGTAGGGTAGTAGATCCTCCTCCTTGCTGCTAGGTATGGCCGAGCACAAGGAAGGAAGGAGGCGGGGGTCCTTACGAGCGTGTCCTGACGCACGCACGGCCGCTGGCTCGCTCGCTCGCGATATTCATCAGTGGCGATGGACCTCTCCTCGACGCCGAGCTCTGCGCTGGCGAGGGCCGCTTCTTGACAGGCATCCTCTCCTCGAAGTTGAGCGCGATGGGCCTGTCAACCTTGGGTGATGCGAGCACCCCGGCATCGCCGGCGCCGCTATGCTTCTCGGCCCCAGGAGCCCCTCCGCGGCACGGCGGACTTCTTGGCAGGCTCGGGCGAGCCGACAACGAGCGGGTGGTGCCTCGGGATGGGCGTGGCGCCGAGCACGACGGGGACGGGGGGACCCCGGGTTGAGGCGGCGACTCCGCTTCTGGACGGTTGGTGTCGTCGCGGAAGAGCGGCCGTGCGAGAGGACCGGAGGAGGTGGGGACTGGGGAGCGGAGTGTAGAGAGGCCGGCGGCGGAGACGTCTGGACGCAACGGGTTGTCCCTCATCTCTTCCCTCGTGCGGCGGCTAGGGTTTGCGGAGGAAGGGTGTGCGTTGCTTCGCTCGTGGGTTTTTCTCGTTGGTTTTCTTTCGTAGGTTTTTTTTCGACGTGCAGGCCTCGCTCGCTACCTGAGGCATCGCTATCTCCACGGGAGGCATCGCTCGACGGTCCAGGAGAGAACCGTTGGGAGGTGGGAGGAGGTACCAAAATCTATATCTATATCTATTTTTATCTTTATCTTTACCTTATTATATATTATTATTTTATTATATTATATATATATATATATATACTAATACTAATTACTAATATAATAATATAAAGCAAATAGTGTTTCTGGTCGTCCGTCATAAAAATCGCCCTTGAAGTTCGCATAAATTACTCACTATGCCATCCATATGTAAAATGATTCGGATTTATTTCAAAATCACCGCCGACTTAGTTCTTATAGGATGATACACTCATACAACAAAAGATCACAGGTAGCCCAATGGCCAAGGCTTTCGCCTAGCACGCGGGAGACCAGCGTTCGATCCCTGGTTCCTACACTTTTTCCTCCTTTTTGGCTCCGTAGGAAGCGCAGGTCTTCCACCCGCACGCGCTAATAGGCCGGCCCATAATTGGCTGGTGGTGGGCCCTGTTTTCTATTCTCTTTTTTGCTTTTTATTTTCTTATTTCGGTTTCATTTATTCTTCTTTATATTAGTTCAGGATTTTGAAAAGAATCAAATTTCGAAAAGTTGAGAGATTTATTGAGAAGTCATAAAAATATTCATGTTTTCAAAATATTGTTTGCATATCATAGAAAAAAAACGGAATATCAAATAGATGTTCATGAAATAAAAAACCATGTTTTTTAAAAAAATAATCCAGTATTCCAAACATAGTCTGGAACTAGAAAAAAATGTACCTGGCGCGCCTCCTCCTCCTGCAGGCGCTAATGGGCAGGCCCATAATTGGCTGGTGGTGGGCCCTGTTTTCTATTCTCTTTTTTGCTTTTTACTTTCTTATTTCTGTTTTTATTTTTTCTTCTTTAAATTAATTACGGATTTTGAAAAGAATCAAATTTCGAAAAGTTGCGAGCTTTATTGAGAAGTCATAAAATATTCATGATTTCAAAATATTGTTTGCATATCATAGAAAAAAAATCGGAATATCAAATAGATGTTCATGAAATAAAAAATCATATTTTTTAAAAAAATAATCC